TGTATGGAACCATGTAGAGATCCGATACAGACTGTATGGGATCCTATACAGATCCGATACAGGCTGTATGGAATCCTGTAGAGATCCGATACAGATTGTATGGGATCCTGTAGGGATCCGATACAGACTGTATGGAACCCTGTAGACATCCGATACACACTGTAGGGGATCCTATACAGATGCGATACAGTCTGTATCTGATACTATACAGATCCGATACAGACTGTGTGGGAGCATGTAGAGATCCGATACAGTCTGTATGGCATCTCATAAAGATCCGATACAGACTGTATATGATACTATACAGATCGGATACAGACTGTATGGGAGCCTGTAGAGATCCGATACAGACTGTATAGGCTCCGATTCAGCTCCGATACAGACTGTTCAGGATCCTACACATATCGGATACAGACTGTATATGATCCTATACAGATCCGATACAGACTGTATGGATTCCTGTTGAGATCCGATACAGACTGTATAGAATCCTATACAAATCCGATACAGACTGTATGGGGTCCTATACAAATCCGATACCGACTGTATGGGATCCTAAACATATCCGATACAGACTCTGTGGGATCTTCTAGAGATCCGATACAAACTGTATAGGACCCCATACAGATCCGATACAGACTGTATGGGATCTTGTAGAGATCCGGATCCTGTAAAATCCCGATACAGATTGTATGGCATCCTGTAGTGATCCGATACAGACTGAATAGGATCCGATTCATATCCGATACAGACTGTATGGGATCCTGTAGAGACCCGATGCAGACTCTATAGGATCCTATTCATATACGATACAAATAATATGGAATCCTGTAGAGATCCGATACAGACTGAATAGGATCCGATTCATATCCGATACAGACTGTATGGGATCCTGTAGAGACCCGATGCAGACTGTATAGGATCCTATACATATACGATACAGACTGTATGGAATCCTGTAGAGATCCGGTGCAGACTGTACGGGATCCTATACAGATCCGATACAGGCTGTATGGAATCCTGTAGAGATCCGATACAGACTGTATGGGATCCTGTAGAGATCCGATACAGACTGTATGGAACACTGTAGAGATCCGATACAGACTGTATAGGATTCGATACAGATCCGGTACAAACTGTCTAGGATCCTATACATATCCGATACAGACTGTATGGAATCCTGTTTATATCCGGTACACTGTACGGGATCGTGTACATATCCGATACAAACTATATCTGATCCTACACAGATCCGATACAGCTTGTATGGGATCTTACACAGATCCGATACCGACTGTTTGGGATCCTATACAGATCCGATACAGACTGCATAGGATCCGATACATATCCGATACAGACTGTATAGGATCCTATATACAGGTCCGATACAGACTGCATAGGATCCCAAACAGATCCGATACAGACTGTATAGGATCCTATACAGATCCGATACACATTGTATAGGATAGGCCTATAGAATTCAGATAGAGGCCTATAGAATTTGTATGGAGGCGTATAGAATTCCGATGGGGGCCGATATAGAAGTCGTATGGAGGGCTATGAAATTCCGATAGAAGCCTATAGAATTTCCATGGAGGCGCATAGAATTTCGATTGGGGGCCTATAGAATTCGTAAGGAGGCCTATAGAATTCCAATGGGGGCCAAGTTCCGATGGATACCTAGAAATTCGATGGAGGCCTGTATAGAATTCGTATGGAGGGCTATAAAATTCCGATGAAGGCCGAAATAGAATTCCCATGGAGGCCTATAGAATTCCTATGGGGGCCAATAGAATTCCAATGGACGCTTAAAGAATGTGTATGGGTGCCTATAGAACTCCTATGGAGGCCGATAGAACTCTGAAGGAGGCCTATATAGAATTCGTATGGATGGTTGTAGAATTCCGGTGGGGACCTATATAGAATTCCAATGGATGCCTATAGAATTCCGATGGAGGCCTATAGATACCTATGGAGACCTACAGAATTCCTATGGAGGCCTCCAGAATTCCTATGGGGGGCTATAGAATTCCTACGGAGGCCTATAGAATTCATATGGAGACCTATAGAATTCCTATGGAGGCCGATAACATTCCTATGGGGGCTTATGTAGAATTCCTATGGAGGCCTATAGAATTCCTACGGAGGCCCATCGAATTCCTATGGAGGCCTATAGAATTCCCATGGGGGCCTGTAGAATTCCTGTGGGGGCCAATAGAATTCCGATGGGGGCCTATAAAAGTCCTAGGGTGCTCTATCGAATTCCTATGGAAGCCTATCGAATTCCTAGGCAATCCTATTAGGGAATCCTTGGCGCTCCCAAGAGACCCCCAGAGAGGGTTGCTCGGTTGCTCGGTTGCTGGGGGGGGGGGGGGCGGCCGGGGCTCCCACGCGCGCCTTTCCCAACAACAACGACAGCAGCAGCAACAACAACAACAGCAACAACAACAACAGCAACAACAACAGCAACAACAGCAGCAACAACAACAGCAGCAACAACAACAACAACAACAACGACGACTACAATAACAACATCAACAACAACAACGACGACAACAACAACAATAACAACAACAGCAAACACAACAACAAAAGCAACAACAACAATAACAGCAACAACGGCAACAACAACAACGACAACAACAGCAGAAGCGACACCAACAACAACAACAAAAACAACAGCAACAACAACTACTACAACAACAGCAAAAACAACAGCAACAACAACCATCTGTGTAAGACTGTTCGCTCCGATCTGTCCCCATGCCGTTCGACAAATGTACCACTCGGTACCCGCCATCTTCGTCTTCATCGCACCCCCTTTGGGACATAGGGGGGGAGAATTATGGTGGGGCCCAAGAGAAATTAGCAGGAGGTTAGGAACAGGAAACACGTGGTGGAACCAGATTGTGCACTTCAATAAAACATGCTCTGGTTGGGAAGATCAACAATACTCGGTCTGCAAGAGCGACAGTTCAACCATCATGTTACCCTCATGCGAATGTATCTGCATGCCACATGCATCGATCATGATGCCACCCCCTCTAAGGGAACTACATGAAAAGGGGGCAATAGTTCTACACACAGATCTGCCGCCCAAGGAGGTCTAGCTAACACCTCTCCCGAGGCACTTTCCAATTTCAGCTCGGACAACACATGTAACATGAGTGCGATGTTGGGGAGCGGTGAGGATTCGAAGCACGAAATAGTCCAGCCCCAGGAGAAGGGATACATATATATATATATATATATATATATATATATATATGTATAGGAACAACCGTTAAAACACTAAGGATTCGAGCCTCAGTCGAGGGGCAATGTATAGGAGCATACATAAAGCACTAAGGAGTCGAGCCCCAGTCGAGGGGCAATATATGTGTGTAGATCGGAACATGTGTAAACACACGGAGCATTCGAGCCCTAAAGGGAAATGGATAGGAGCGTACGTAAAGCATGAAGGACTCAAGCCCCAGGACAGGGGCGGCGAAGACTATGCGGGCGAAGCCCAAAGGAGCACTCCTCGAGCCCCCTGGGGCCTTCTGGGGGGCGGGAGAGCCGAAAAGCGCTTCTTAAACACGTATCCCTAGAGCGTCCTGGGCATCCTGAGGCCTCCGCAAGTAGCAACAAGACTGCGCTGACGGCTTCTTGCTGGTGAATTGCGAAGAGATCTCAAGCGAAACGGCCGTTCCGGCATCCACGAGTAGCACCAATAATGCTCTGAAGGACCCCGCTGTGGTGCTGAGTTGCAGGAGCCTGGCATCCACGAGTAGCAGCAAACTGCTTCTGAACAACACCCTTGTGGTGCTAGATTGCGAAGAAGTCTCTTGCGAAACAACCGTTCCGGCATCCGCAAATAGCGGCAAGACTACTCTGAAGGACACCCTGTGGCGTTGAATTGCGAGGAGTTCTGAGACGAGAGCGCCCTTCCTAAGGTTCGGGCCGTCTCTGGCCAAGGCCTCTCGGAGTAAATTGTAAGGAAAAATCGCACGGGAGCGTTGTCGAAACGCTTGAGCGTGAGCCTCGATGCCAAAGGAAACGCAGCCAGCGCCGAGGCGAGGGCGCCACGGCGGATATAGGACGTCCAACGCATTAGGTCGGGCACGTCCCTCCACAGGGACGAAAACCCAAAAAATAGTCACCAAATATTCAAAAATACCCCCAAAATAATCAAAAGATCGTCCCCAGACTATTTTGGGACTATTTTGGGATATTCCCCCTGTAGAGGGACACGCCCGACTTAATCAGCAGCTCAAATTCAACAGAATACTGCCTCCCACGCCCCGAGCCCACGCCGCCCCCCCCCTCCAGGCGTTCCCACCCGCCACCCCAAGCGCGGTGTGGCGGGATGTAAGCGAGGCAGCGCATCTGCGTGTAGCCTCCCAGACACGCCTGCCCCCATGCACGCCGCGGAGGGCGCGTCCCACTCCGCGTGCATGCGCTTAGACTTAGGTCGGGCATGTCCTCCTACAGGCGAAGTTTGCTCAAAAATAAACAAAAATGATCAGAGAAAGACAAAACATACTCTCATGTCTATTTCTTAGTATTTGTGGATTCTCCTCCTGTAGAGGGAGAGGCCCGACTGAGGTGTAGCCTCCGGACACGCCTGCCCCCATGCACGCCACGGAGAGCGCGTCCGTCTCCGCGCGCATGCGCTCAGACGGTGCACGAGGCAAAAAAAAAAACACCCCTGGGGGATGCCGCAGCCCCTCCTGCCCCCGCAGGTAGGTGTTCCGCGAGCCCTGGCGGAAGGCAGGCCAACCAGTAGGGGGCCACAAGCGAACCCTACCCCTACCCCCCACGATTTTTGAGGGGGAGGGTGGGGTTCACTTCGCTCGCGACCTCCCAACTGAAGTGAACCCCACCCTCCCCCTCAGAAATCGTGGGGGGTGGGGGTAGGGTTCGCATGTGGCCCCCTAACAAGATCGTCGAGGCGCCGGGGCAGCCGCGCTGCGCAAGCAGAAGGCGGCCACCTGGGCGCCTCAGGGCCGGTACCCGGCCACAAACAGGCGAAGGTTCTTGAAGCCGCTGTTGCCGAAGTAGATCATCTCCGCCAGAGCCTCGTCGTTGCGCCAGCCCTGCTCGCGTATGCGGAAGAGGGCTATCATGGTGCCCGTGCGGTCAACCCCGTGCAGGCAGTGCACGTATATGGGGCTGGCGCTCCAGTCGCCGAGAATCTCGAAGAATCGCGCGACGTCCTCCTCCGTGGGCGCACGCATGGGGCTGAGCGGCAGGTGCTCGTAGCGGATCCCCTGCTCCAGCACCACCCTCCTGTAGCCGCTGGAGTTGTGGCCGTTCAGGTTGATGATCGTGCGCACCCCCAGACGGCGAAGCCATGCGACGCCCTGGTCCCGCCACGCTCACATGCAGACGCTGACCATATTCCCCCCTTGGGCACCGACAACCTCCCAGGGAAAGATGCAGATGGGCTGGAGTTCCCTGAGAATAAAAGATGTCGAACATTCTCAATCATAGCAAATGAACAGCCGACACGTCTTAAAAACTCCTCTTGCGGAGGGACACGCCCGACTTAACACTTGCCAAAACGATTCCCAGGTTGGGTGGAGCGCCCGAAGGTACCTGCAAGTGTAGCTCCCAGATTGGGTGGTAAGTTTAGGTCGGGCCTGTCCCACTACAGGGGGATTTGGGACGAAAAAAAACAAAAAGATGCAGACAAATATTATAAACATAGTCCCCAGACTGTTTTTTTAACTGTTTTTGAATGTTCCCCCTGTAGAGGGACAGGCCGACTTAATGGTAGGTTGTTACGGCGCACTAAGCATGTCCCCGCTCTGCGCTTCCTCTCCCAGTCCTCCTCCTCCTCCTCCTCCTCCTCCTCCTCCTCCTCCTCCTCCTCCTCCTCCTCCTCCTCCTCCTCCTCCTCCTCCTCCTCCCCTCCTCCTCCTCCTCCTCCTCCCCTCCTCCTCCTCCTCCTCCTCCTCCTCCTCCTCTCCTCCTCCTCCTCCTCCTCCTCCTCCTCCTCCCCTCCTCCTCCTCCTCCTCCTCCTCCTCCCCCCCTCCCTCCCCCTCCTCCTCCTCCTCGTCCCCCTCACTCCTCCTCACTCCCCCCTCCTCCTCCTCTTCCTCCCCCCTCCCCCCTCCTCCTCCCGCGGACCTCGTTGTCCGGAAACGAGCCGCGGTAGAGGCCCCTCGTGACTCTCGCGGCATAACTGACGCCCTCCGCCTCTTCCAGCCGCTCCGCCCACCGGTACCGCAGCGGCCCCAGCGGCCGCTCGCGGAAGAGCCCGGCGTCCTCCGCGGTGGCGCCGCCCGGATGGGGCAGGAGGTCTTGCGGGGAGTGTGGGGGAGCCCCCCCGTTGCTTCCTTCCTTGCCCTCTCTCCCCCCTCTTCCCTCCTTCCTCCTCCCTCTCCGCATTCCTGGCATTTCCATCAGCCCTCCTCTCCTCCCTCCTCCTCCGCCCCGCCGGGATTGCCGCGGCGCCACCACAAGCGAAGCGTGGCTCTCCTCGCGCCCTCGCGCCGCTTCTGGCAGAAGCCTGCGAGAGCTCCCCGGCCCTGACCGCGAGGCACGACTGCCATGCCGCCTGCACGCAGGAGTGCCCTTGGGCATGCGGCAGGTGCGACCCCTGGAACCCGAACTTTTCGTGATTCGCGATCACGCCCGGGACGGGCACAGCCTCCCCCGACGCACCCCCCTGGTCATGTCACGACTCGCGCTAGCGCTGTCTGGGACTCGGCCATCCTTGGGCATTCCCAGAAAGCGCTGGCGCACATCGTGACAGTACCCTCTTTCCCCTCCTCCCCCTCCCCCTCCTCCCCCTCCTTCCCCTCCTCCCCCTCGTCCCCCTCGTCCCATCCTGCTCCTTCTCCTCCTCCTCCTCCTCCTCCTCCTCCTCCTCCTCCTCCTCCTCCTCCTCCTGTTGGACTCCCGTTGGACTCAGGAAGCTCCGTCACCGCGCACAATGCCGTAGCGATGAGGTAGCAAAAATACGACAGTAACGCTACTCAGGCTGGCCCATCGAAACACAACCCTGAGTAGACCACACAAGGGGCACCGATCTCCCAACATACGACTTAGTGCTGGGATTGGTGCCTGCTTTCAGCTGCTTTAAAGTCCCTGCTGCATGGCGATTACCAGACCCCTTGGGACACACAGAGCTTAGGTTGCGCGATCTGCTCTCGCCGAAGGCCCCGCAACGCGAGCACCAGGCAACACGACCACCCATCAACCACACGCTATGTGTCCTGTGGCTGTACCTGGCAACCCTTGGAGGGCCACCGCAGGGAAACACTGAAACCGCGGCCCGAGACGTTCCTTTCTGGCCGCAACGCAAACACCTAAAGGCTGACTTGCCGACCTTTTCGATGGCATGGCCCTTGGGATCGGGCACCAGCTCCAAGAGACACGGCCTGGCCCTTCCAGGCCGACGAAGCCGAGCCACATCAGGAAAGGCCCGAGAACTGAGCCCATCCATAACTTCGGCAATCAACCAGGCTGATTGCCGCACTCTCGGCAGCTGCAATTCATATAACTCCCTAGTGGACGGATTTGAAGGCTGGATTATGGCTCCTTTCTTGGCCTGCTCATCCGCCTTCTTATTCCCTCTCCATTTCCATTCCTCAATCCTACGCACACGGGACTTATGGAGGGATCAGTGAGACTCTATTTTGCTAAGCGTCACTCTCTCGCGGCCTATGTCGCCCCCGAGGCGGAAGATGTCAACCCAAATCTCCGAGAAGGCGACTTTCTCTAGATCCTGTTTGGGCCCACCATTCCATACATATATAACCATAGCACAGTCTGTCACCACTTCCATGGGCTCTGGACCTGCAAGCTTGAGGCACATGTAGAAGGCATAGGCTTCCCCACACCCAGCAACCTGCACCGCATGTGGGAGTGGTCCGTAAGCGGACCCATGAACCCAACCTCCAAAACCATCTGGAAACACAGACACCACCGCCCATCCAGCTCTGGAAAACTGAGGTAACTCGGGGTCCAGCCCAGACCCGTCAACACACACCCGAGGCCCGAGGACACCGTCAGGCGGCACAACATCCCACTTGTGGCCAGCAACTGCGTACGGCGCTGGCCAATCCACTGGAGCCTTCCTGTTTCCTCGCCTTCAGGTTCGGCCAGGAGATCACATACATCAAGGTCCCTCCGTAGAGGGACAGAAAAATCGCAACGCTGAAGGCGGTGTCGCGCGGTGCCCAAGGCTGCACCGCACGCCTGGCAAATCGGGTCGATCACCCGCCGATCGTCGAAGAGACGGAGCTGAGTCGGATACCCTCCTGCCACCACTCCTGCTAACCCATTCGCTGCATTCTGCCTGCCCTGCTTACGTAACCTGGCCAGGACCTCCCAAATCGGCTCCAACAGAGGCTTCCCATGTAGTCCAGGAATGCAAACCCCGCCCCAAGCTCAGTGAGAAGCATATCCCGAACACTCTGATGCAAAACCATATTCCAAGAACGATGGCCTAACTCTAATATATCGGCATGAACTCCAGAGCGCGTGCGAAAAAGATGCCAGTCTACGATCGCCCAGCCAAGCCGCTCGATCGTGAGCACAACTGCTCCTGCAGGCCCACGATCATCCTGCCACCCACGAGCAGCGCGGCTGTGAAACTCTCGAAAGCTGGACAACATAATATTGTGCGGGGCCCAGTTCTGACGGGCCGCTTGGCCCCACATCAAGATGGGCAAGGAGCGCGCGTCGCAATTGGGGTCACTCTTGGGGTCCACAGGGGGCAAGAACTCAAAGGTACGGCAACGACCTTTGGGCGTCCCAAACCGTGCTTGTCCCAGCGTATTGCGTAGTTGTGCAAGTCTAGCGGTCGCCATGCCCTGCACCCTGCATCCATGCGTAGCCGACGCGAGACCTCCAGATCGGGCAGCCCGAAACATACCCTTGCGTGAACTCCGAAGCCCTCGAACACGGCCAGCCCGAACCCGAAGCTTCCGAAGACGTTTAGATAAAGTCCTGGCTCCTCGAAAGCCTTTTCTGCACAGTCTGATCCACGCCCAGGTTCCTCCCAGAATGCACCCCTTTCAAAGTTCCATCGTCTCAGCATGCGTACAATGCAAACCCTGGTGGCCGAGTGACTGCTCATCGCCAGGCCCTTCGACTGGGAGATCACTAAGTGAAGCTTCTCGAGAAGCGCGCATAGCAGAAGCACCGCGCGTGGCAGCGCAAACTCAACATGTCTGCTAGTACCTGCTGACTGCGCTGTGATGTCGTCCACCACGTCATACAGCGGCACGCTAGGATACAGCTCGCACACACGGTCCAATGGGGCTGTGAGCACCAAGGCAAGCAACGACGTGGCGAACCCGCAGCCCGCTAGAATACCATGCAATGCTACCAATGGTCGTCCTACCACCCCCATCACCTGTACTATCCTCCTCCCACGATACAAAGACAGCAACAGGCGCAGCAGAGTAAGGCTGAAGCAGTACTGGACCGCCTCCTTGGCCAATAAAAAGTGGCAGACCTTCTCATCGGCCTTCGCCAGACCGATGAGCACCGACGCCGCACAGCCTCCTGCACTGAGATGCTGCTCGACCGCTATGCTCTGCCCCCAAACCGCACGCTCGCAGCTGCGACCAGCCACGCCATAATGGTACGAGCGGCGGTTCTCTCGCTCCCATTGCTTAACTTCGCGCCTAGCAAGCTTGGAGAACACACGCGAGGGAGTGGGAAGCAGAGCAATGGGTCGAAAACCTCCCTCAGGCTTACCTAGCACCGCGAGGATCGTGGCCAAGAGGAGCGAGGGGTACGTACCAATAACCTCCATCTTGTGCCAAAGAACCGCAAGAACCTCCAGGAGCCCGTCGGCGGCCTTATCGAGATCTCGGGGGCGAAGGGCGTCGATCCCAAGAGCCGTGCGTTTCCTGACTTTCCGCGCCGCCCCTCTGATGTCCTCCACCATCCTGACCTTCATGCGCATCTCCTCCACCTGCACCCCTTTCTCCTCAGCCTGGGCTTTGATCTGGTGAGTAAGGTACGCAATGGGGTCAGGGTGCTGATCAGTGTCTTTCTGGGGCCCCCAAACACCAGTCCAGTAGTCAGTCAGGGCATCGACCTGCCCTTGAGGGCCCAGCGGGGCCTGCGCGCCAGATTGAGAACCAACCTCAGAAGGCGCCCAACCAGTCGGACACTGAGTGTACTTGTGGGCAGCTCCTCCCCGGTTAGTCACCGCCTCAGCCACCCAAGACCTCCACTGGTAGCGGTGTAGGCCCTCTCTGCCGTAGTCGCAGCCTTCTCAGCCTGCGCAAGGAGGTCCGCAAGCTGAGTGGCACTGGCAGCGTACAAATGACTGAAACTGGGGGCCCAGGCCTTCCAGTCGGGGTCGGATCTGAGCTCCTTGGGGCCTCTGGCCAGGCCGCGCAAGATGCCCATGCAACAAACGTTGTCCCAAGCGGGGCCTTGGACAAGGTACAGCAGTTCCCCTAACCACTTACATATCCTCCTCCAACCTCGGCACTCTGAGCTGGCAAGCGGGCACGGCCCACCAGAGAGACGAATCGCCGAAACAGTGGCCTGCTGCGGGGGATAGCCACGACCAAAGTGACTGCGCTCGTGCTGCAGCCCGTGATACTCGGCCAGCTCAAGTTCCAACGCTTCAACAAAACGTGTGTAACAATCGTCCAGCTCCTCCTTCCTCGCAATGCTATCCACCTCCTGCAACAACCCTCCATAGTCCCTGGGCTGGGATCTCGGGCCTACGACGAGCTCTGTCGGGAAAAGGCGCGGCAGGCGGAGGGTGCTGATCTTCTCATCCAAGGGCCTGCCTTTAAACTTGACCACCGCTGGCCAATGAGGTTTGACAGAGGCCTTCCTGCGAATATCACAAGACAAGACGTTGGCAGCGAGACCCGCTGACATGACGAGATAATCAATCGCGCGCCACTTCTTAGCAGTCGACTTACACGTGTACGAATCAGGACGGACGATGCGACCACGAAGTTTCGAAGGCCAGCCCATCTCCTGAAGTACCTCTGGAGTGGCGTTCCAGTCCCCACCCAAGACGAACGGGGGCCCCAAGGAGTGCAGAACTTCTCCGACCCTTCCGAGAATTTCACTGCCAACAGCCCCCAATGGATCGCCATCAGGTAAGTAAATTGAACCGAGCACAAAACCCCCAGGAATATACGCATTCATCTCAAATGTATGCGCTCAGGAAACGGCAACGCACGAGGTGTAGACGGCGGGAGACACATGCCAACATGCGACTTGCAGCAAACAGCCACACCTGCAGACAGCCCGCCTGCCTCGGTAACAACTGATGC